ATTATTCATAAGTTTCATTTTTTTTTTTCTATATTGAATAAGAGAAAGATTTTCTTTGTATCTATACTCAAACATTTAATATATTAAAAAATATTTTGGTATTATAAATTTTAACTGAGAATAGAATTTTTAACAAAATCGTATTATTAATTCTTGTAATATGTGCATATTTCAATTGTAGGAGACTAATAACCTCATTTTGTATTTCAAATTTTCAGTCACTCTTTTTTGACATTTTGAAATTATAAATCTACGAGTATCATATTTTTTAATTAAATTTATTATTTTCTTAATATGATTACTTAATTTTTTCAATTGGATTTTTTCATTTTTTCTTAATGTGTAATGCAAAAGTTTTAAAGTATCAACAAAATTTGGAATTGAGAATTTTCAAAATTAAGTGACTTAAGTATACTCGTAGGTATTGACTAAATTTTGTGCACTCTTTAGAAGAAAGTTAAATACATGACCCGAAAAATATTATCGTCACTATAGAAAATTAGAATATTTGTTATTCAATAATTTTCTTATCAGCCAGCTAGTGGCCAGTGGGTATAGATGTAAGACACAGAGTAATACTAACAAATGCACCCTTCTATAATCATATAACAGTATATTTATTAATCGTGTAATTAGTAAAACTAAACCGAAATCAGTATTTAATTTATAAGAATATAATAATATAAATTTCAATTTTTAATGAAAAATTTTATTATTTTTTTCGCGCAGTAACTTATGCGTTTATAGAGAGACTGGGGTTTTCCTGTACATTATGACCATGTTTTTGTTTAAAATCCATTTTACATTTTAAAAGTCTAAGTTTTCTTTCTATTCTCATTCTTTATTAAAAAATAATATTAACTTTATTGTAAAATAACTCCCGTCTTAATTTTGTCGTTAAGAGGAGGCTTATTTCGGATTTACTGCTCTTTTAATTTAAAAAAGAGCTATCTCGGATTTACTGCTGCTTTATTTCGTTCAAAATTCAAATTTTTCATATAGTAAGTATAATATAATAATTCATATAGAATATAAATTAAATTCTGTGAAATTTTGATCAAAGTAGATACCTTATTTATTTGCGATGTTATAAATAAACAATGAATAAAAATGTTATTCTTTGTATCATTTAAAAATTTTTCAAAAAATTAAAAATCAAAGGTGAAAAATTAAGGGAATAAGCTAGTTATGAAAGATTTTAAGAAAATTCAAGAATATTTAGTAACAAATAGAAGAACAAAATTTCGTTATTATGAAACACACAATAGAGCGTTTATAATTCTGTAACCTAATATATAAGATTATTTAATAAAAATTTCGAAAACTTGAAACTTTCTACTTAATATTTATTTTAGTAATTTAATCCATGTTTCATAAATTGTATTACAAAAAAAAATATATGTATTTTATCTATATCCTATGATCTCGCGTTCAATTTATTTTATTTGTTTAACGTTAACAAACTTCAAACTAATATGAAAATATATTTAATGTACCCATATAATGTAAGCAAGAATATATATATAAGAATATAAGCACTTATATATATAATATTATTATAACAATATTATTATTCAAAGTTAACATCTGACAGGCAAGCTTTTCATAATACATACATAATATTATAATTTGAGTATATATGAGAATATTTATATGCTGAATCTAAATAGAAGTATGTATACTTATATTCTTATGTAAAAATATTATTTAAATATTATATACATATAGAAGTTATTGAAAAGCTGCACGATTCGCGTGCTATTTTTTTTTTAGTTTATTATTTTTTTTCTTGCGATTTCTCGTATTTGTTTTATATCGGAATTAATTTTTTTGTATACTAGGACGAAAAGTAAGTAGGTATATATGAATTTTTTTTTCGCGCTTTTCAATCATTTTCAATCAGATAATGTCAGATGCAACTTATACTCGTAACTATACTTATGAGCTGGATTTGTTGCATGTGTAGTTATTTTTTTTTAATATTTCGAAATTATAATTTTTTTTTTTTTGTATAAACTTTTTATATAGCAAAATTTTATTTTGAAAGTGAATAAAATTATTAAATTTAATTTGATATTAAAAGTAACTATACATACGAGTATATATTTATTTGCTATTTTAGCTTTTATTATTATTAATTGTATATGTATACCATTGGTGTGGTTTACTTATGAGTATATTTTAAAAAAAAAGTTCAATCAATTAGATCAGTTCATTGTAACCATTAAGAAAAAAAAAACAAAATATTGTTGAAAAGTAACCACTTTAATAAAAGTTAATTGTGTATTTTATAAATTAATTTTTGTATAGTTACGATTTTTTCTTGTATTTCCTTTTGACATAAAAAAAAAATTCTGCATTTTATATAAAGAAGTTCAAATGTTATGGAATTAAATCCCAAAAAAAAAAAAGGTTGAATAATACAAGTATGGGATTTTTTTTTATATAGTTAATAATTAAAGCAGCAGGGTTTATTAAAGAAAAATAAATTCGGAATTACTTAAATAACAAAAACAAAAAATGTTAAATTAAAAATTGAAAGCATTTATTTGAGCTTACAACAAAAATTAAATAAAGGAAATAATAAAAAATTGTTAAAATTATTGAAAAATTAAAAATTTAAAATGAAGAATTAACTTAAAAAAAAATACACATATAGTGTTGAAAATCTTGTAACCTTGAACATTAAACTGATAGTAACATGGTATATATATACATTTTAGTTACACAAAAGTAAATAACGTAAAATCCGAATACGTAATATACTTAATTGTATCCATTTTTTTGCCATAATTCATAAATACAGCAAAATTTATTCATGTGTATATATAAATACTCAATATTATGTATAAATCAATATAACAGTCGATAAGGCATATATATATACAGTACGTTATAGGCATATATATACATACTTCAATAAGTCATAAACAAAACTGACAATTCTGTGCTAATTTGTAATACGAGTAACCTTTTAAATTAAAAGCAAAAAAGTTTTTTTTTTTTTTTTGCATGAAGTGAAGTGAAGATTTTCTGAGTCTAACTTAATATGTCAGACCTTGAGAGATACGGATAAGAGTATAGGCTTCGGTACTAGTTTGTATTTGAATTTTAATTTTAATTTGGGTTTGAATTTGGTTTTGAATTGGTGTTGTCGAATTTTGATTTAGTTTTGCATTCGAATTTAAATTTTTGTAATTTATGAAAAACTTTGAACATTTAAGTTGAGCAGACTTTTGTGCATACACTGAAAAGAAATTCAAAAGGTATATAATTTTCGACAGGATTTAATCTGTTCGAGTTAATTAAACTTAGAACAGATTAATAATAGTTCGGATTTTTTGTTTAAAAATTTTTAAGGTTAAGATTATCAGTTTTAAGGTTTCAAAATACAATTGTAAAAATTCAATATTAATTCAGAATTCACAAAACTTTGTAAAAATAAATTTTTGAAATTCTTATTAAAAAATATTAGAATTGCCCTTAAAAGAATTTTATTTATTAAATTATTGAAATAAAATTTCTTTTTAACATTACTATATTACTTTGGGCCGGACCACATATTTTGATTGTTTAATTTGTTATTGGATAATTGTTATCGCTAGTTATTTCTAAAAAATTTTCTTATTTACCACTAAAAGAACACATGAAATTCTAGTTTTTTTTATTTCTTAATTGTAAATAATTATTATATTATTTCTTATAACCATAGAATTGCTACTGAATTTTAATAATTTTTTTTTATTAAATCTTTAAGAAAACAACAAAAAAATTAAGTGAATTTTAATTATTTTTTGTGTTATAAAACAGTTTCTTTTATAATAGTTTTCACACTTATGAAATCACGTTCTTTAAGTATTAAGAGAATAAAGACAAAAAAGCCAATTAACAATTTATTTATTTTTTTTTTAAATATTTTTTTCTATATTTGTATTTATAATTTAAAAGGGAAACCTTTTTCTTTTTTAATAAAATTTACTTAACTAAATTCCTGGTAAAGAGTGTGTTGGAACAATAAATATATGTAACTATATTTGCGGTTCTATGTAACTCTAAAGAAATAATTTAAATTAAGCCATCGAAACACTGTTTGTATATTGTTGTATCTAGATTTCTAGCATTCAAAATGCAAAGCCCTAAATTCAAAACAATAGATAACTGGCTAATAGATTTCTTTCATTGCTGAAAAAATCAGATGCTATCAGCACATTACCGATCGAAAATTGGATTTGCTTGTTTGGCAAAAGGGTTCCTTTCGATTTTAGTTTAGAACATTGTTAGATTTTTTAACTAAAATCAAAACACGAGTGTGAACACGCGTGTTCATACAGACACGACTAATCTATATTTTACAAAAAGTATTTAATTTATGCGTCCCTGCCATGGGGAAGCACATTGCCTGCCTGAATCTCGACATAAGAAATTTAGTGCCATCACATATTACATTTTCTTATTTCGTTATGTATTTGGTAAAAAAAAGAATCAAGCGAATCAGAGAAAACAAGATCCAACGTAACCTAAATGTGGAAGCAAAAATTTACGTTATACATGAGATTTTATTCTTAATAGATTAGATGTTAAGAATTTAAAGGATTGAACATTTTTCTTTATTTAATAATTTTTTTAAAAATTAACTAAGAAAATCTATTTAATTATAATTTTTTTTTCATTTTTTTTTTCAGTTCAATTTATATTATAATAGAAGTAACATCAAAATTTCATCTCTTGAATTAACATTATTATGAAAATTAAATAAAATAAATAATAATTAAATTATAATAAATTAAATGATAAATAACAGGTAACAAGGAACCTATAAGTGGTCAATAAAGAAATTATAATAATTGCATAGTTTTAGGATCCATTGAACCTAAAAATTTCAACAGTGATTTTGTAAAAGAATAAAAAATTATAAAATTTAAAAAATTTTATTAATTGAAAAATAAAAAAAAATATTTGTAATTAATTTAAGTACATTTAATAAATGTGCACTGCATAATATATGTGGATTAGTGTTAATATAAATTTGCAGTTTAACAAATTTTGAAATAAATAAATAAACATATGCATACAAACATAAATAACCTATATACTCTTAAATTTAAGTGTACATAAACATATATATAGTTTAATATTTTTTATTATTTACTTACCTACATTATTTTTTTCGGTTTTTTGAATGGATAACCTATTTTTGGATTATTACTGGTATATTGTAGACTTATTTATATAAAAATAAAGCCAGAAGAGATTTCAACGAATATTAAAGCAGAAAAAGTTTTTGTTTGATGAATATTATATGAAATAATCATTTCTTTTGGATAAATATACACAAACTTATTTTGGATAATTTTCGTTTTTGGATATTCCTATATACATACATACTTGCATATATTTACACAATACATACAAACCATAAATATTAAAGAAGACAAATATTTTTGTTATTCTTTAATTTTACTAAAAGGTAAGAAGAAATTTATGTTATATTTTGTTATAATATTCCCATTTTATTATTATTATTATTAATTTGCACTAATATATATATTCATAATATGTAGGTAATATTCTATATTCACATTTCTAATTAACTATATTAGTGTATTTATGTATATTTATTATATTTATTAAAAAAAACAGGTTATAATATGAATAAACAGTCGAATCTTAAATTGGAAAATATAATAGTGACAAAATTTACGATAAGTGTAACGTGACCACGAGTTGATCCAAAAGAAAAGACTTTTGGATGTATACCCAAATCATGGGTTCCTTTTTGGGGTCAAAATTTAAACTGTTTAAAATTTAAAATAACATTAAATCACTTCTTGTAGATTAAACTCTAGAAAATTCTTTCGATCCCATTCCATTGTTTATATTCTCTAGCTCTACTGTTATTTTAAAATATTTTAAATATTGCAATTGGAAAAAGTATGAAAGACGATGTTTTTTTGCTTCGCGACAGTGGTTGGCATTAACAGCTCCTCCTTGCCTTTTTCATTTTGTTTGAGTATAGATACACGAAAGTATCGAAGGCCCGGATATGGACAAAAACGATTGTGATTGAATGTGCTGTCGGACTATTGTCTGTATTTAATTTTGAATTTAAGTGTATTTCTCAACACTTTGCAATTTCTGTTGCTTGAGTCATTTTTGTTCCCAAAGGGCGAACTGATTGCATAATCATTGATATTATATTCAATAATATATAAATACGGTTCAATATGATTTGTGATTCTTCTTTTGACCTTGCGGTAATAATCTCTGTGATATTAATTGCATATATTCCATCAGCTGAGTGCTTTCATATATGCATTTTTTTTGTCAAACTATTTTTTGTTCGGGCGCAAAGTTGCAATTCTTTTAATAATTCTTGATTATTTTTAGCAGATACTTTAAAAGGTGATTGCTTTTAATTGTTAGCTCCATTTCTAATATTCTCGAACGAACTACTTATATTTACCCACCCGACCCAGTTCCAATTCTAGTCACATAAGCATAGTCTTATTATATTTATAATATAAAGAAAATAACTATTTCTTGGACAAAAGAGATCATTCTATACAAAATGATGTCAATATCCATTAGAAATTTTTCTTTTAGTATGACGAATAAAGCAAATTTAGTTGTCTTGTTTTCGAACTCTACTGTAAATCTAACCATATGGAAAATATTAATCCAAGTGTAGAGATAAAATATAAAAACATGTGTAGATTCGTTTTGAAATGACGTATTTGAAATATTTTTTTTTTCTTTATAATATTTATTTATACATGAATGTGTGTTCGAATATATACATACATATATGTGTATGTATTATATTCGTTCTATATGTTTTTACATAAAGCTTTGTGTATTAAGCTTTTGTTTTCTTTGTTTAACCTTCGAATGTTTTAGTTTTGTGTTGTGTTTTTTATTTGTGCATTTTTTTTTGTTATTTAACTACCTTCTTTCGTTAGTTAGTTTTTTTTCTCATTTACCTTGGTTTTAATATCTATAGCTGCAAAAGTACATGCTTATATGTATATAAGTATATACATTTTTAAATTTTAAATTTAAGTTCTATTGTTTTATTAAAGAAATATGGTATGTATATATAACATTAACACATACATGCATGTGTACAAATAAATGTTAAAGTAAATATGTGAGTATTTCGTATATCTATAAAATATGAGTAGCACCAATATTCATGAATATTTAAAATTTTATTTAATCGAATTCTAAATTCTGAGAATTTTATAGAGAAATTTTTTTTTTATGTATACATGGTAGTATAAAAACAAAGGGTTAATTTCTATTCTTAATGGTTTTTGCAGGTAAAAATTTGTTCTCTATAAAATTTTTTTTTGTATTTTTATAATTAATTTATGCGGTAAAACAAATTTGTTAATTAACGGTTATTTTTTTAAAAATATATGAGAATTTCTGTTATAAAACCAAGTACCTACATATATACAAATATTATGCACATAATTTGCATAAATTTTTAAATATTTCAATGATTTTATAGAGATAATTTATTTAATTTGAAAAACTTTGTAAATTATCATCACAATATTACAGGAAAAGGTGAGAAATTATCGTGACAACTATATAGAATTTTCATAGTATTTAGAATTTTTAAATTGTTCATGAAATAGAATTATATAGAAGGTGTGATTTTTAGACCGGAAATTGTAATTTGTGCAGCAATTTTATATTCAAGAGAAAGAGGACTAGTTAAGCATATCCATGTACATACTCGTATTTCAATTAAGAGTCAGAAATTAGAATATAGTTTTTCAAATTATTGGATCAAAAGTTTTTCTATGTGATTTTTAAATTGCAATATTCAATAGTTTGAGAACAGAATCGAGTTCTATAATTTAAATATAGAATGGAAACAGTAACCAATTAGTATTACAATAGATAATAAAATAAATTGAGTCCCTTAAATATTTTAATTGTTATTTTTGAATTTGTAAATGTAGTATCTTTTCGAAAATCATTTAAGTAGCACAACAGATTTTAGAAGTTGTCCTTCGTGTCGCGTTAGTGATTCAGTTCTGCATTATTAAATTTAAATCAATAAGAAAAATTACCGTCTACTTAGTAAGGCTAGGGTACAAGAAACATTACAGTTTAGATCACATCCAATTCACTGTTTATAACAATTTGCATGCTAGTAGTTAGTAGAAATCTTTATATTAATCCAAAAACGATGCGATGATTTTCATTCTATGAATAAAATTCTGCTATGACTTACGTACATAAAATCATTCAATATCATGCAAGCTCGCGTTTTTGTACTGCTTGAGATATAACACCAATGGTATTAAAAAAAGTCTGCCAAAAGTAGCAGCTATAGCCATTATATTCTAAATCCTTTTAAAATTTAAATATTATTTTAATTTAAATTAATTTATATATTGAATAAAATTTAGAAAAAATATGTTTTTTATTATACGATATTATCCGTTTTCCATATAGTTATCTTATAAAGCTTCCCATTAATTGCAGGGAATATCAAAAATCGTAAATTGAGTAAGTAAGGTTTAAGTGTTATGAAATAGAAACTGCTACAATTTGGAAACAAATGATATCAAAAGAATACTTACTTAAAACCTCTCTATTTTAAATTTATAAACAAAAGCTCTAATAATGGTTCTATATTTATTACAATTAAGCAGCAACTCTTCAATGCATTGTTTTATTATAAAAATATATATTCTAATAAAAATCCAAAATTCTTACCTAAAAACTAAAAAATTTTCGATTCTGAATATTTCAATTTTATACTCGTATACACAGTTACACAGTTTTTAGCTTTTAGCGTTTTTCACTTTTTTTTTACCTCAGAAGATCAAAGAAAATAAAAAAATGTGTAATGGTTTTATAAATGCATATACGTAATATATGAAATATGATTCACGTATAATAAAGTTGTTTAGATGGAAGGACACCATCTTCATTGTTTTCTTTTTAAAAATTTCTTTGATTTATTTTTACATGCGACTGAATTTAATGTGTTCTTTTGTCTTTTATTTAAAAAAAATATATATAAAAAAGAAAAAGCCAAGTTCAACAAAACTTTAAGACATTTACAAGTATTTCTACTTTTTTAACTGTATCAAGAGCACGTCATATGTAGTCGAATGTACGTCATTTTTTGTTTTCTTTACATTTATAATCTTAGTAATATGAGTTGCTTTGTTTTTTAAAACTTAAATTTAACAAATGCGGAAAACATTAGATACATACTCTTTATATTATGGATTTTTTTCATAATATAAGATGTGTAGAGTCTAGATATAACTATGAATTATTTAAAATATTCATTGTTAACAAAATACTTAAGGAAAAAATAAATTTATGTACTACACATTGTTAGTTTATATGCGATGAACTACCCGCAAGGCGTTTTTTTTTTCAATTATTTATTAAACCATTACAATCTTAGTTGGACAATGAAGTAGATCTATTAGAGGTAAAAAAATAAACGTGCAACTTAATGGAAAAGCTTGTAATAACTGTGTGGAGAGTTACTTAAATTTGATGGCATTAAGGACTTACTTCATGTACTATAATAGGCAGAAAACTTTGTTATTGAAATTGTTTTCATACTTTTAAAATGCTCATCACTATAAATCTTAGAACTAAAAAGTAAACAGTATATTTTGTCGGTATTACGTATTTCATAAGTTAATGAGGACATTTAATTGATCATTTTGAATTTTATTAATACTTTGTTAGCTAAAAAAATTAAAAATTCTTCATTAAATTGAAGTGGTGATTAGAATTTCAATATTCGTTTTGTCGTTTCTATTCAACCACGCTTACATTTTGGCATATGCTAGCGATAATTATAAATAATACTAAATTATAAATTATATATAAACCTTCTCATAAACTATAACAACACATTAAATAAAGTTGGGTCAAACCCATGGTTTGTAATTTAGCACTTTTCACTTCAACTAGTGAAAGTACTGCTTTTAAAAACAATTTATGAATACCTACTACCCTATTAAAATTACTTTCAGTCATTTACGAAAGTATTTCAAGGACTGCATACTTTCAGGATGAACGATTTATGCTCTCTTTGAAATAAAGCAAAAAAATAAAGAGGCGTTAAAATAATGCTTGATTTTAAGGTGTAATTGTGTGAGTTAAGAAAAATAATTATAAAAACGAATGCAGTTCAATTAAAAACGAATGCTGTGCATTATTGTAATTTAAAGCCAAATTGTAGACAATTTTAAGTCATAATAGCCATAGTTGTAAATTTATAGACAAATTAATTTCTAAAATGATATTCCAATTTCTGTATAATTTTGAAATAGTGCTGCTAATCTACTAATTTAGTTAAATATTAAAACTTCATACTTGTATAAAATTCAGAAAATTTTTTTGTTAACAATCCAAAAGAAATATTTTACGAGTTTTGTTAAATGTACCTTTTTTTGACAATTTTAATAAAAAAAA